AGGGGGGGGCGGGGGGGGGGGAGGATGAATCCAGCCTTCAATTGATTGCTGTTCTTCGCTTGCTCAAAAGCTGGCTCGCAGCTTCCTGAGCTGCCTGGAGCAGTTTTGAGCCCATCTTAGTGTGAAGAGCTTTCCCTTTTCTCCTTTCACTCCATTGCCCTCGGAGACAAGCCAGCAGGAGGGGGTTAGAGTGTAACTAGCTTTGAATCCTTCTGTAAAGACAGATAAAACCTTGTGCTGTGAATGAACCCAGCTCTCAAAGATCCTTCCCTGGTGCTCCTGCCGACCTCTCGGTTCTGTGGGCTCGATTGTTGCTCTTAACTTCGGGGGAGGAGGAGGAGGTTGTGGGGCGGAGGGGCGCCTGGATGCAACTCGCTTTCAGCCCGGCGAGGTGGCTGCCTGCGTGGGGAGCTGGCTCGAGCGAAGCTGCGGCCGCGGCCGCCTTTGTGCCCAGCCTCGTGACCCCAAGAATGAGCAACTCTGGCACAGCTTGAGCTGCCCAAACCCCCCAGCTTTTTAACGCCTCGCTAGAACTACCCAAAGGGTTGTGCAGAGCAAAGCCTACGTGCCGGTCATGCTGCCTGCCTTCTCCTTTGGCTTTCTTCTGCGTCCTTTCAAAAGCCCGTTGCTTCTCCGCATACAATGATGCTTCCTCTGGGGAGAGGAGGAGGGCGGCGGGAGCTTGCAGTATCCTGGGAGCTGCTTTTCCACAGTCACCCCGTGACACCAGAACTGTCGTTGCCTTGTGAGGAAGGCTGGAGATACTTGGCAGCCGAAGGGGTATCACCCCGGGAAGGTTTGGCTCCCCGGTCCCGAGGGACTCTGAACCAGTGGGCTCCTGGGGGGACCTGCTGTCGGACACAGCCTTGCAGAGCGCTCCGGTTCCCAAGAGCCAGCTTGTCCTTTCCGAATCGGTTGCGGTTCCTTTCTGATAGAACACTTATCTCCCAATATTGCTTTTTCCCAAAGGTCTCCCTCCGACGCCTGTCCAGCTCCTGTATCCGGTCTCCAGGTTCAGCAATGTCAAATCCCTTCAGCACCTTTGCCGCTTTCGGATCAGGCAGCTGGTCCGAATAGACCACATCCCCGAGCTCCCGCTGCCCAAGTAAGTCTTGAGGACTGGCCTGGGGGTGAGTCCCTCTGGTTTCCTCCCTGACCCTCGCTGCAGCAGGCGGTGGGATGTCTGTACCTGTAAGCAAAGGCTGTGGGAGGGAGTAGTGGACGTCTTCAGCCTTGGGACAGCAAGATAAATGTCCTGTGGTGTGTGGGGAGGCCTGTGGGAGCGGTGACCAGCTCAGGAGCGAGGCGCTGCAGCCTTGGGGTCGAGGCTCCTGTTCCTGCTGGAGACGCCTGGGCTGGAGGGGAGAGGTTCTGGTTGTCCTTTGCGGAGGCTGGCACGGTGGTGGCTCAGCGTTAAAGCTTCTGCCCCTTCCTTCCCCTTCCTTCCCCAGGCCCCTGATCTCCTACATCTGCAAGTTCTACTACTACGACCCGCAGGAGGAGGTGTACCTGTCGCTGAAGGAAGCTCAGCTCATCTCCAAACAGAAGCAGGAGACCGAATCCTCCACGTAGCGAGGCTGCCTCCCCCGTCTTGTTGCTGTCCCTGATGGTACGTGTGTGCCCCGTCCCGTGGGGTCAAACGCGGATCGCCCCGTTCCCTCTGCTGGCAAAGAAAACACACGACCCTCCCAAAGAAGGCCTGGCTGTTCACTCCACGGTCTTTTTACCAGTTTTCCGTGGGGAGGGGAACGAGGCTTCTGCCTCTTGCTTGTGCCGAGTTGTGCCCGCACAGGCCCGCGCTCGCTCCGGTGCCAAACGGGCTGGGCTGCGTCAAGTGGGCTGTTTGATCCCTCTCCCCTCTCTCTTCCCCCCACTAGGAATTGGATTGTTGCCATCCTGTAGCCCGAGTCGGGCTGTGGTGGGAAGGAGGCACGCGACGGTGAAGCCTGCTTCTGCGGGGCCGCTTCTGCTCTCGAGCTCTTTTGTGCGGAGGAAGAGGGTTCAAGACTCCTAAAGAAGCACAGCAGAACGGGAACGAGAGCCTCGGCTCCTGGCTGAGGGAGGGGGTCTCGGAGGCAGCTGAGCCCAGCTCGCGGACTCCTCGCAGAACAAAGAATGTCATGGCACTATTTACAGTTTTTTGAAAGTTTTATTTTTGATGTCTTTTTGGGTTGTTTTTTTTTTTTTTTTTTTAATTTTCAGCATGAGAAACACTGTCTTACGATCAGCTGAATTTTATTATCCTCCCTTGGAAAATTCAAGGTGGGGAGAGGTAGAGAGAGAAGGGGACTCTCTAGAAAGATCACCTGCTCCAGGCCTTGTGGCAAGACTGTTCTTTGGTCCTCGCTGAGAGGGGCTGCAGCCCGAGAGCTGCTTGGAGGCAGGCCGAGCCGGGGTGGTGTGCAGCGACGTGGAATAACCCCTGGGGAGCGCGGAGCTCGGACCAGCCGGCAGCTGCACGGCTCCCCTGCTCTCTAGGGTTTGGTAGAGGAGTGCCAACCCGCGTCTCGGGCAGCTCAGCTTGGCAGCTGGATTTGCAGGGTGGCTCCTATATGCCTTCGAGTTCGGCCCGAGGAAGGAAGAGTGCTGGGAGCCGTTTGGATGTCGTGGAGCCTTCTGCCAAAGGGACTGGTGGCTGCTGCAGTGGGGGGCAAGGGCGGCTTCTCTGATGCAACCCCGGAAGAGT